GAACTCCCTGTCGAGTCTCGTGACAAAGAGGCCCATTGAATTTAGCGGGAAAGGTCATTTAGCGATTTTTACGGCGGAAAACGAATGGGTTGAACGAAGCCCAAAAAGTTCATCAAGAAAAGCAAACAGTAAGGTGAAACTTTTTCGCTTTATCAAAATCTTACGCCTGGGATTTCTTTGGCTTTCTGGTGGAATTGTCACAAAGTAACCACTTTTTGACTGTTTTGGGAAATGTGACAAATTCACCACTTCTATGTGGTGCAATACGCGATATCAAGTTATGCAAATCGAGACAAAAGTCCGCGAAAAACTTCAACACTCAGCTGGAGACTTTCGCACTATTACACCTTTCACTATTTAGTACCAGTCACCCTTCTTAAGACTCATCAGCAATAAAGACATTCCCGAGATTGTGAAATATGATCAGGGCTTCACATTACACCCAACTCGTAACTGATCCTGACTTTGCGCCATCACACGACTACAGCCCGCACAAGCCTCAGAATACAGTCATTAAAAGTTCTTCCAAAAGGAACAGGAGGGCTGATTCACTTCATTTCTGTAAAAGAGGTAAGTTCAGTTTCTTTACCGATACGCCGAGTTTGCAAACCGTTTTTTCCTTTCATTGTACTAGTGAGTAATGTCACTTATTTCCGGAGACGCGGCGGAACTAACACCCGGTCTGGCTTAAGTCAACAACATTCGTCTTGACCATGAGGCACTTATCTAACTGGAAAAAATGTGCGTTTTAAGTCTGTTGAAATGTTACCAAACTAAAGAGAAAAAGAAAGTAAATTGTTCCCTTAAGGAAATGAAAATCACTCAGTCATCTTCATTATTGTCTGCGTTCTTACCAGCTCCATTTACTTGAAAAAGATCGCGCCTGTTTTGATCAGATATGAGAAATTTGGAGGAACGGTTGATGATTTAGAAGGTGCGGCAAATACCTCCCGATACCGAATTCGTAACATGCTTACAGAACAAACTTGAAGTCAGAGTAATAAATTACATGTCCTCAAATACGGCTCCTACGAAATCATTCCTCAGACCCATCTTAGCATTTAGATTTGTCGCCATAATTCGATCTGTTTACTTAAAGTTCGTTGTCACACTTATAGATTAGGTGGAAAACTCCCAATTTAAGAGCTCTGCCGTAGAGATGAATAAAAGAATTCCCACAAGTGCATAGCTATTCCTGGCTAGGGGAAAAGAGTTTCAAATTAGAACGAGAATGCTCTTAAAAGGAAACTGGCGATTACTGAGTCAACAAGCGACATCAGAAAATTTTAGAAGGCTACTGGACGGAGTTTTTCAGTCAGCAAATACAAGTAATACCCTTGCACGTTAATTTTATCAAATGTTGCATGATTTATTATGTAACGATGTCTGTGGAGTTTTATGAATTTAAGTTTCTGCAACAAACACAATGAAAAAGCTTTGAAGATCTGTATACTTTTAAAAGAAATGTAGGCGGCAATTCCTTGGTGTCAGCAGGGCTTGACGGCGGTAAAGGAAAGAAATCAGTAAAACATCATCAGTAGTTGTATAACTTAACAAGAGAAGAGAAAGCAGTCCCTCAGGCTCATATCTCTGAAATAGAAAACCAAGAAAAACATTTGGTAACCCATATACTTGACCTTATCTCGTCTGTAAACAATCAACAGATAACCGGGTGTTAGTTACCTTCAGCCCTTGGTGTCTATTTGTGGCCAAATTGCTTTGGCTTACACTTTAAAAAGCGGCAACAATACCTGTTCATCGTTTGCTCGATTTGTACCAGCACTTGTCATCAAAATTTGTCCTGCCTACAGAGCAGCAAAAATTCTTTAAATAGGTACATATGCTAAAATAAAACAAAACAAAACCAAAAAAAAAAAAACAATTAGCAAATATTCACCTCTATTCGCCCTTTCTTGTCTGTTTAAGCAATGGATCTAACCGCTGACCAGGCACTGACAAAAATCGGTAGCTTCGGCCGCTATCAACTGCGTCTGCTAACCTTCGCCAGCATCCTTGGATGGTTCTGGTTCGCATGGCCAGCGCTTTTGTCTACGTTCATTGCCGCTGAGCCCGGCTGGCATTGCGTTGCAAACAGCACTGAATGTCAGACGGATGCAATTGTGTACCTAGGGGACGACAACTACGATCTGAGGTGTAACATGTCGAGAAGAGCTTGGGAATTTGTTGGCGATTATACATCAGTAATCACACAGGTACAGACATAAGTGAAAAAAGGGTCTCTTAGCCGCTGCGATAACCTTAGTTTTGGTTTTTAAGACATTCATTTGAAATGCGCTCCACAGCCTTAACTCGACTTAGAATTAGAAAGTTATTCATTATTATCCAGTCCTCTTTTTTTCTTCACAGTTTGACTTGGTGTGTGACAAAGCAATCTACGGAACTGTGTCTTCCTCTTTGCTTTTCCTTGGCTCTCTGATGGGCAGCACTATAATCAGTACTTTATCCGACAAATTCGGAAGAAGAGTTATCATCTTCACATCTGGATTTGTTGTTGCACTATTCAGCCTGCTGTCAGCTTTCCCCAACTCCTACTGGCTATTCACTCTTTTTCGCTTCATTGTTGGATTTTTTCTAAGTAAGTGTGCTATTAAAAATATTAAAGGATGTCACAGAGCTGTTTATACACGTTTATTTTTGAATGAACGTTTTTTCCTTTAGAGAGTTTCATTGATTATTCTTTATTGCATCATTCCGTCATTCAAGAACTGATACTCCAGTAGTGAACTTCATCCAAAACAGAAAACTGTTCTTTTCACACCGGTTAAACAAACCGTTAAAAGCAGATTCTGTCAAACAATTCTTGAATGAGAGACCTCAGACTTTCCGCAGACAAGATGGAGCACTTAGGACTGGACTAAGTTAGGTTGTTAAGCTGATAAATTCAATGGCGCCATTCCCCCTCTATGGCCTGTGGACAGAGCTACATTGATGCTATTAGAAGAAATTTTAGATTTTCCTGTGTTTTTCTCCTCATCAGGTGGTGGAGTGAGTATCTTCATCCTCATCTCCGAATTTGTGGGTGCCCAACACAGAGCCATGATGGGAACGTCTTTATGGTACTCTTGGACCCTTTCTTTGATATGTCTGGCGGGAATTGCGTACCTCATAACAGATTGGAGATTACTTTGCATTGTCACAGGGGCACCAGCAATCCCTCTTGCTTTGGGCTTCCTGTAAGTGTTGACCGGTAAACTAACCTACGATGATAACCAGAGAGAAACTATAGAATGAACGCTCAAGTAACTTAACCTTGATATTTCCCTCTGAAATTCGGTAAGCGTTGAATACTTGGGCGTGGCCAAGATGGATTTATTTACTAATTCCAAGTCTAAAAAGTTCTTGATAGGGCTTGTAGACAAACTGTAGACCCCTCTTCGCTCAAAGTCCCACTTGCTGTGGAAGGCAAGACTGGATCCTTTCATTCACCATTTATGTATATAAAGGATGAGATTTGACTCCTTCTGTGTAAGAAAATTGAGGGAAAAAGAGGAATTTACAACTGAAATGTGGTTTTTGTTACGACAAGGGTGGCGCAAACCGTTGTAGTCTCTTACCATTTTTGTTTCGTAGCTGAAAGCAGTTCTGTTACTCCCTCTGAACTGAAAGTTATTCCATCGCAAGTGCCCTTCCCAGAGAGTTGGTCATTATCCTATATAGTTCACCGGTGTCTTGGCGAAAAGAAAGAGAGAGGATCTGAAAGAGTAAAGTGTCTTCCCAAGAGTACAACAAGATAACCACTTAGGACTTAACGAACAACAGGCTCTAGCAGAAGTACCTCTTTATGTTTTTTTATTTTTCATTTTTATTTTTTATTTTTATTTCATTTTTATTTTATTTTTTATTTTTCATTTTTAATTTTTCATGTGCGTCTCTAGGTTTGTTAATGCCCTGGTGTACTATGGCGTGTACCTGAGCACACCCACCATTGGTGGCAGCATGCACCTTAACTTCTTTTTGACCAGTGTTATCGAGCTTCCTGCAATCCCGGCAGGCATTTGGATTTATAACAGGTCAGTAAAAAAATGCGCGAAATCTTGTTATTTACCATTTACAAAACATGAACAAGAAAAAATGCATTTAATGACGATCAGTTTTCCAATTGCTACAGTTGCGTGTCATTTACTCTTCCTTTGTATCAGTCCCGCGTAGTCGAAATAGTAAATGTATTACTTTTCACAAACCCTCAATACAGAAATAAATCATGAGTTTCTTGTGTTTAAGAAAGGATCACAGTTATAATGATATTAAAGAATGAAACTGCTTGGCCGTGGAAGGTCTGGGTACGAGACTCACAAAAAACAGATGTGGAAAAACCGTTCAGTTTATGAAACAATTAGTAGGGAGCTTCTTAATGCATGGAGATGTTTAATCAAAAGAATCTGAGATAAACAACCTCTTCTACTAGGTTTGGTCGCAAAAGGGGCGTCATTGTTCCCATGCTCCTCACCGCTGTCGGTACCGCGGGCTCTATTCTCTTGACAACGGACGACGAGTCTAATAAGGGTGAGTAGTATATAGTTAAAAAAAAAAGAAGAAAATATTGGCGTCGGTCATTGGAACGAACCCTTAGTTATTTAAATTACCATTGAGATAAAAAAATGTTAACATGATCAGAAATAAAATGCAGAAATAAAATGTTAACACGATCATTTAAATAGGAGCGAAAATGTATTTCTTTCTTGTTGCGTAGAAAATCACAGTGCGAATTCAGGATTGACCTCTTTCAGCTTTACTTATAGACACGGGTACTTTATATTCACCTTTATTTCTGCGTGATATTTTTCATTTTTAACAGGATATTTTGCCGGTAAGATCATTATGTCGCTGATCTGGGCCAAGTTCTGGATAATGATATCTTATGATGGTCTGTACGTGTATTCAGGAGAGCTCTTTCCTACAGCTGTCAGGTAAGGGTTTTAAGGTCTCATTTACAAAACCACAGACTTTCGACAGAAAACTTATTTATAGGGCCTTTAGAAAACAAACGGTTTATTTTACAATAATTATATTGCACGATTGTGCAATACGCTTCTGCTCCTGAAACTGAAATATGTCACACTACCAGTTAAAGTATGTGGCATCCATTTAGAAGATCACAACACGACTTAACTTTGGAAATAAAGGAGTTCATTAATCGTTAGATACAACACATTATGTAGCAATATAATGATTTAGATTAGAGGTTAAAGGATAATCGTTCAGTAGTTAATGGAGACCAAAGTGCAAATCACAGAAGAAAGGTTGATTTTTAATGACACCCGCCATCTTTGATGTCGTCATTGCCAAAAGCAGCATATTCAAAATTCATAACCAGGAATTATCCGATATTTCGTTGCGTTTATGTCAGGGATAAACACTCAACTTTTTCGACCATCCTGGTAAGGCCAACCAAACAGACCAAATTGGCGCTAAACCTTATTACAACAGCGGGGGTCTCATTTTGATGGAGTGTCATAAAACCAGAACCAAAGTAACACAATGGCATATCAAAACAAAGGAAAATAGGAAAATTAGCCGATCAAAACTCGGGGTAAAACATGCAGACTATCCAAAGTGCGGTAAAAAGTAACTGCCACCATCGATTTCAGTTTTGCATCTACTTGGTTACGCGAGTGGACGAGTTTTCTACACGAATCACGAAGCTTAAAGGAGTAGGATCAAAGTGAATTTGGAATACTTTGGAGGCCTATATAGAATGGCTTGACACTATTGTTATTGGTTCTTCACTTTAGAAACATTGCAATGGGAACATCCAAAGCTGCAGCTGGTATTGGAGTTTTCTTTTCTCCGTACATCATATATTCGGTAGGCCGGCCCTTATTTGTTCACGTAAGTAGCGACACAGTGCCATTTAGGAAACAACTCTCCTCCCTTGAAAAATGTCGTAGTGAGAATCGTAGAAAATGGCCGAACCAACAAAGGATGAGTTCCATACGCAGCCATTTTTTCTTTTCTTCATTTGCTTTTTTAATTTGGTTTTTTTTCCTGGCTCTGTTTCAATGATTTTTGATTGCACAAGCTTACATGGCTCGCGAATGAAGAGAGGGGCCTGAGGAGGAAAACTTTGTGCATTCGTGGAGCTCAATGGTGCAAGATAGACCGGGGCTTTATTAGACTTGACACATTGACTCAGCAAATAAATAAATCTGAATAAAAAGATGAAGTTTACATATCTCTTTTTAGGAACGTTTTCACCCAATATTACCGTATGGAATCATGGGATTAAATGCTTTAGCGGCCGGGTTACTCAGCATGTTCCTGGAGGAGACTCGGTACCAGCCCACACTAGAAACGGTGGACAAGTCTAAGAAGAAATCGTCAAAAGTTATCACATACTACCTTTGATACAGCTTGTTTTAAGATAGATCACTTATCTATGAACAGGAGGCAATGTGAAATAGTAGTAAGATTCCAAAGTTAGCGGTTAGAAAAAGGGAAAAAATGTAAATGCGCAATTGTGGATACTTCTAGAAGTTTTTGAATAGAAGGCGTGAAATAACTCGGTGTTAACGACAAAAGCAGTGCTGGTAGCCCTGCGAGCAGGCCCTCTTTATTAGCGCTGTAGGCCAAGACACAAGTTTCTCAGAGACGAGTCGATGAGAGGTTTTCCGGGAGTCTGGCACTAATCAGCAAAGCAAAGCAAAACTTTATTTACCCAGGGTAGCCCATTCAGCTCTAAGGCTGGTATCCATAGGGGCCCTGTATTGAAAATAATTTACATCAAATTTCTAGAATAGATATATATGTATATATAATGACTAATCACGAGCAAGAGATTATGAACTGTAGTTTCTCTTATATAAAGGAATAGGCCCCTGCTAGCCTTTCGCAGGCTCGTGTCGCTGAAGGTTTCATACTTACTCGAGGGTGTAGAAACGCTTCGTGCTGAAGCGAAAATAACAAGGGCGGCTGTTCGCACGCAACCGTAGCTGTTTACACTAAAGGAAGAAACCAAGTGGCACAAGCAGTAGAAGTGAAACATTGGTATCAGTTGCATGGTGGACAATGTATACAATTAAAATGATCATGGTTACCGAAGTTAGAGTCGTGAAAGGGACGAATTTGGGTTTTTTTACCTTTCTTAATGTCTTCAGATTGCTTAACATGCGCAAAGTGTAGGAACTCTTGAAAAGTTAACTCTTTTGACAAGTTAATAAGGACAAGTTCAAGAAAAACAGTATGTCACATTGGCTTGGGAATTTCTCTGAATTTTGCACCGATAACTTCATTAAACTTTGAATTAGCTTTGTTCAGATGTTATCAATGAACTTTAAAATGTAAGTTATCAAACTATCATGGGGCTATAAAATTATCATAGTGGACCAAAAAAAATAACTTAATCCTGTAACATGTACTAATAAAATTTTTATATTGAGGATAGCACTGTAATGGACAAATTTTTTTATTCCACATTTTCAAATTTTACTCCTGGGACAAATCATTTTGTACAAAATGATTAAAAGGTCCCATATAATTCGGGGCTCAGCTCAGCTTCCACTTACAAGCATTGCAAAACAGCTTTCCTTCTCTAACAATGAAGTTCTCATCAGGAAACTGTCGTACCCGCTCGTGTAACGGCACTTTCACAGTGTCGCTATTTCCTCGTCGATTGTATTTACCGAAGGTGGACTGTAATGATCGATCTCTTGCTATAGACGATGGAACTTGGCGGTTCTGTCCTGGTGTACCGGTTCACAAGGGAATTACCATTGTTCTGTCTTTGTTTAGGAGTCATTGGTTAGCTGTTGTGTATTGTTCGGTCTTTTGTATCGGCTCTTGTGAACCGGTACACGAGGACAGAGTTGGCTGAGCAAGAGAAAGAGTTAACCGTTGACCACCCATACCTTTTTTTCCGTTGGGGTTAGTAAGTCATGTAACGGAAACAGACAATCTACACACACAAGTAACACAACACACGTACAAGTACACAATTAACACAACGCACAAACAATCGAAACAGACAGAAAACAATCATAATTGTGAAACGTTAGAATAGGACTATTTATCCTTCTGAGTGCTGAAATCTGGATCACAGTCATGATAAATGACAGAAAATGCTAGCAATTCTTTTTCAAGAAAAAACGAAAAAAAAATGCTCGTTTTCCCAAAAAATGCCGAAAAAAAATGCTAGCATAATCGAGAAAGGCCTAACTTTGTTGATATATCCAAATTATAAAAAAAAATATTGCTATGTTAATTGTAAATTGACTAAAGTGAGACTGGCTAACGGATCTGACCCACGGGGAAAAAAAAATAAGCGGTAAGCGGGAAGGAAGCGATCAATTAACAAACACATGATCGACAAGAGAAAAAAAAATCGATGGATGGACGGTCAGACGGTCGGGTGGACACACCCACGGACACGGTTGTGGTCGAGTATGGACGGGGGACTTGTTCGCGGACAGGGGGCAAAGGAGATGGCAACATATCAAAAATATGCTACTTGTCAACACTGTATGTAGCTCACTAACACTTACCGGAAGATTGCTTCTCTAATCTGATATCTTTCCCACTCCCGATTTCATAGGCACGCCAAGCTGTAATGCTTTCGGGGTTAAACTTAAAATTGTTGAGCTTGCTGATACTGGGAGTCTTCCTTGCATCATCAATGACGGAATCCTCCATATTGTCAATTGCAACTACTCTCACTCCTTCGATGGCTTCGTGGGAAAGAAGAGCTTCTTGGAATTGACTTCCTTACACACGTCGTTGCCTTCCTTTATGTAGACCCTTACGTGGCCTTTACATTTTGCCGCAAGTCTGTCTGTGGCACCTTTACCTCCCTGCGGGTCAGAAAACTCAATTCCTATAACCTGGACACCAGTAGCTAGATTCTGCAATGGCTGGACACGCTAGGATCGTACATGATAAATGATACCAGCCGGCGTTTTGCTGCCTGAAATATGCCTTCGTTACTTCCCCGTGTTGCAGCTTTAGGGTGTTCAGAACATCCTGCATGATAGCCACCACTTCAGGATTACATGGATGAATCCTTGCCATTCAAGAAGGCCATTTACGCGACGATAGATTTTCACACAAATAATTCTCGGAAAGTTCTTTAAAAAATGTGATAATAGTTTCCTCGACGGACTTTTATATTGTTCTTTCATCCAAGATTATCAAAGTAGAAATAAAAGAATTGGAGGCCATTCTTTGTTGACCCGAACATGTTAAGCGTCACGGGTTAGGTCACGCACAGGTCAATAAACTTGATAAATTGCATACGTTGTCTATACCATGAATGCTGTGAATGATCCAAATAGCTTTCTTTTTCTTCATTTAAGCACGAAGATGTTTTAGTATATTTGGTAAGAAGCAACTCAACACATCATTAATTTAGTATAAGTAGCAGCGTTTTAGCCAACACTGTGATTGTTTTCGAAATGTTCTGAAGTTTGTAAATCCCATCAGCCGTGTTAACATGTGTTAAGAGACACGCTGGCACTTAAAACGTAGTTATGAAAGACTAAAAGATTAAAAACTACTTTGCTTTACATTCACAGCTTCACAGAAGAAACATAACGGTGCTGACGTCATTTAATTTTTTCTGTGTATTTTCGACAAACTGACTCTATAATTAGCTTGAAATGATCATCGAATTCTGCACGCTTACATGGCACTTGGGTGGCATCACGTTTTATTTAACTACCAAGACAGGACTTAATTTCCAACGGCCAAATTTTCCAGGTGTATAGTTTGATAAATGAACTCTCGTCTGATATGGTTTTAATGTCGAAAATTTAGGTACCAGGTGTCGTTTAAACCGGTAAAACTTAGCCTTCACTTTGTCTCCTAAAAGGGCGTGCAAAATACACCTTTATAAAAACGGCGATAAAACCCATACCAAAGAGAATTACAAGAAACTTTTTATATGCTTTTACTGTGCAGTGATATTATAGTTACTGTGCAAAGTTTCATGGTGAATGGACTTGTTTGGCGCTGCCAACATTTTTCTAAAGTTGCGTGACGATTTGACCGTTTAGGCAAGGCGAAAACGGCTTTTTTAACGAATTTTCAAACTTTTTTAAATTTCAGCCGGAAAGAAAATCGCTGGAACCTTAAAATATTTTTTCGAAGCTAGTTCACAGAAAGGGATGTTTTGGCAAAATAAAAAAAAATTCGATTTTTCGTTACTGATTTTCGATTCTCGAAATATACAGGCGGCCTCTCTTAAAGCCACCTGTGTTTGCTTTGTAAGACATATTTATTCATCTTTTTGCAAAAAATTATTTAGCAAAATTGACATTATTTACGTTTCGTGCCTACCGGTTTTAATTTAACCTTCATGTTAATTAAAACTGAACACAGGTTGACAACAATGCAGTGCTACTTCAAACAATCATTAGCAGTTATTCGTAATTCATTGACGCTATTTTTAAAATAGAAATTCGGCTTCAATTTCAAAATTGCGCGTGTCCTATAGTCAACTGGAGAACTTAATCAAAATCCTTTGCTAGAGGTAAAGCAAGTATATGTGTTTGTTTTTATTTTTTGTTCACCGCAGGGTGAGTTATGATGGCAGAGTCAGATTTTTACCTTAAAAATCGAGGCCTTTTGCTCGATCGCTTTCCTCTTGAAAATGGCTCGTGGTTAGCACACGACTGTCAGTTATCGAAAAACTTACAATTTAAGCTGATTTATCAGCGTTCAGCCAACTGCAGTGTCGTTTGATTTTATCTTTTCCTTTCGCCACAATTATAGACATTTAAAAAAGCACGAAACTTAACATTCCACACCGAAACAATACGTGTTTTCGTTAATATGTTGTCTGCATGGTACATTTGGAAAACCAATCATCCCGACATAATTTCCTATCGATTTTTAGTCTAACCTACTTAGTAACGTTTACGTATGATGCACGATCCTCGCAGTAGATAGCGCTATTTAAGCAATAGCGAAAATCAGACCTGAAAAAAATCAGATACTTCGTGACATTTCTGATTGTATCTGATTAGTAACATTTTTTAAATTAAATACTGTACAGATCGGGAGACAAAAGAGTTAATGAGGGTGTCTATCGGTGCTTTGTTCGCCCATCGATCCGATTGTATTAGTTGTCTGCTAAGAAATGTGCTTGTCGTTGTCTTACTAAGCCTCGAAAACTTTGTGTTTTACCTCTTGCCATTTTCCTAAAATGTTGTTGCAGGAACGTTATTTTAAAATACATGTCGTGAACTTCAGTGCTGTTCCTCTTAACCAGTACTTACTGTCCAATGTGCGAGATTAATTAATCAATACAGGAGTGTAAATGCATTGTTTTTTTAATTTTCGTGAAAAGAACAGTGCGTTTTTTTTTATAAAACGAAGGCGAAACAGTTGGAACGATTTAGCGTTTCTTGGGTACTCTTTCTTTGTAATTATTTGATAGGCATTGTTATAGCGATTTCACACATAAAACCCGTTTTTGAGTCTTCTTGTCAAACTTAACAGAGAGAGATTGATTCGGAGCTTTTCTATGTTGAGGACGGTTAAAGAATACTTCGTTTCTATAAGTCCATTTCCTTTTTCAGTTTCATGATGTGAATCACAATATCAATTGCACTCGTGACATTTGATTGTTTTTTAAAATGATTATTCAAAAGACAATTCTTAACTGCACAAAGATTTCATCCTCACAAACTGGTCCTGTACGTGCTATCGTTTCTTTTCTTTTTCTTTGCTGGTGACATGCTAAATGATTGGTTTATATATATTCGGTTTCTTTCAGGTTTGAAACTACCAGAGCATAATGAACGCCCGTATGACATCAGTTCCTTACAGGATTTTTCTGTTGATTGGTCTCATTTATCAGGTGCACCAAGTGACAACTCTCTCCAGCAGATCAGGTAAAATGACGTGAACAGACCGGCGATCAAAATTACAAACTACTCTTTGGTCGGGAGCATTTACATCAGGCTCAACGTCAAGTGTTATTCGTATGTACCGACAACTATGAACGACTCGTGATGTGTCGGGAGTCCTTTTTTTTTTAAAGAAATATCACATAACATGGTGCATGGGACGATTTAACGGACAACTGTCCTGCAAAAAGACTTTCCTGGTTTTGAAAGTGATTAACAACCAGTGGGAATTTTATCGAGCCCTTAAAGTTAACCTCTTTTCCCTTTATAGAAGTCATTTGACAGTAAAAAAAATTGTCCATAGTCGTTAGCCTTACCTCTGCTTTTAAGTGAAGTTTAAAGTAATGCTATGGATAATGAGTGCATGGCATTGACTAGACTCTTAAGATTGCGAGCCCTGTGCTTGCTTTGTAATTTTACCCGCGGTAACTTAGGATTCTCTTTTGGTATTAGAGAGGGGGCTATTCATGTTAAGGGCTGCATACTTCATTTCTTATTCAATGAAATGGTTGTTTGCCTGGGAAACTGAATTCAGTCCATCAGATTATTTGGTTATGAAAGTCGTTTCGGGAAGACTTCAAGAGCAAGAAAAGTCCCCTCCTTTAACTTAAGGAAAAAGACTGACTTTACAAAAAAAAA